TTGTTTGTTGTTTGTTGTTTGTTGTTTGTTGTTTGTTGTTTGTTGTTGTTGTTGTTGTTGTTGTTGTTGTTGTTGTTGTGCTTAAACGTTTAAACCTATTTTCTTTTACCCAAAGACCTAATTCAAGACGTCCTTCCGCAGGTGTCGCTTCTGCTTCAGCCTGCAGCCACCCTCCCGCGACTTGCTCCGCCCGGCAGTGGAGCTGCTCAGGGCCACGGGGCGCCTGCGGCGGGTGGTGTGAACTGGACGCAAAAAGGGTGGAATGGTGGAGGGGGGGTCCCAGGGCGGATTCTGAGACATCTTGTTTGGGGGTTTCGGTTTCGGCAGGCTCAATTCGATGTTCGATTCTTTGCCAATTTTTTTTTTTTTTTTTTTTTCAGGTGGTTCTGGTGATCTCACTCCAAATTGCATTAACGGCAAAACCCACGCTTTTCTATAGTTCCCTTTTGCAACTTCTCCGCTCTTTCGTGCCCCCCAAGTTACGGTCGCCCCTTCCCACCCCTTCCCACGGTCGCCTCCGCACCGTGGTTCCAGGTACATCGCCGACGAGGCGGACGATGTGTCGCGGGAGACTTGCGGTGCTTTGCCCAACCTCACCGGCACCCCGACGGTGGCCTGGACGGTGGAGCAGGAGCGGAGCGCCGGGCGTTTTGGAGGGAAGAGGGGGTTGGGATGGGTTCCCCAGATTTCGAGGAAGAGCGCCATGGTTGGGGGGAAGAGAGTTGATTGAGGAATTTGAGGTTGATTATGACGGGTTACAATCAGGGATGAGAAAAGGAAATCTTAATATTGACGTATCAATTCTAGCAACCTCATATACATACATCTACCCGTGCTGAATTTCTGTGATCTGTCCAAAACTCAGTTGCGAGTGGCTCAAGTCTAGAAGTCTTTTAGCGCGAGCAGCTAACAGCTACCAGAGAAACTGGAAGCAATGGGATCGTCTCAAACTCGCGAGGTGCGAGAGTTTGAAAAGGTAGATTCCCCAGTGGCCGAAGGGATGCTTCGCATCATCACATTTCTCGTGCTTGCAGTGGTGGCACCGTTCTGCTACTTCTTTGCGAATCCTCAATGGCGTGAGGATTTCGGCCTGAAACAAGCAGGCATGCTGATCCTCTATGAGTTCGTCGTTATCCTGGTTCTACTACTGTTGCTAATTTTTGGGCTTGACAAGGCTAGACAGATTCCCCAGCGCGTACAAAAGATACGCCTAGAAGGAAGCACGGACACGGTCATCGATGCAATGGCTGCTTTGAAGTTGTCAGGAGGATTAGGATTTTTGCCATCTGTGCCGAAACCTGCAGCATTGAAGCAATGATGTTGCAAGTATCAGGCGTGCGGCTTGACATAGGATCCTTTTCAAGCAGCCCAAACTTTGTTGCTGCGGCTAGTGGCCAAAAATGCAGCATTGTGCTGCTTGAGTTTGCTGAGTGCCTCTGACTGAGGCTTGAGTATTAGTATTGACATAAACGTGTATCCTTCTCTTCATACAAAAACCTGAAATGCTAGGCTCATCAGGATTCCCTTCAGTGGCCTGTGGCGGTTAGGGCTTGATCTTATTCCCCGACAAATCCAGTGGATTCCAGCTCCCAAGTTGAAGGCGCAATCCAACCCCCAAGCGTGTGCCAGGCATGTGCTACTCACCCATACAATCAACAGGCCCCTCTACCAGACATGGTCAGATTCCAAGGTTGAAAAAGCCCGTGGGGACTCTCCAGAGACCAGAGAGTTTGACTCACATGGCATGAAGAATCCACAAATGCTTCCCAAACTGCCTGGGAGGCGCTGCGGCTTGACAGCGTGGGCGTCCCGCTGGAGTCGGACGTTTGGGTGCTCTGTGCGAGACACCTGCAGTGCCTGGTCGAGCCAGAGCCGAGCGGGGGTAGGAGCCGACTGCTGGTGAAAGCAGCCTTCTCAGCCTTCTCAAGTGAGAAGGAGTGAAAGCTTGCTGACTGGATGTCAGGAGTCCGAGGAGTCCGAGTCTCAGGAGTCTCAGGAGTCTTGGTGTTGTTTCGATGGTTTTTCTCGGTTTCGCTTGGGCGAATCCACAACACATGTGGCTCTTCA